GAAATATCAAAGCTTCTAACGAAGCAGATGCCAGAAGTTTAACTTTATATCAAAACAGTTTAAAAGAACATAAAAAAAACTTGAAAGAGGCTAAAATCAATTATTTCAACAACAAAATCCTGAATGCAGACAATAAGACCAAAGCAACATGGAACATTATAAATAATGAAATAGCACACATTAAAAATATTAAAAAATAAAAAGTACACTGGATTGGATGAGTTCTCAATAGAAACAATAAAAAAATTATCAATGTAGTGATTACCCCTTTGACTCAGTCTTTCTTGCAAGGATACTTTCCCGAAGAATTTAAAAAAGCATTAGTAATGCCTCTTTTCAAAAAAGGTGATCGCTCGGTAGTAGAAAATTATAGGCAAATCTCTTTGCTCTGCTCACTGTCTAAATTATTTGAAAAAATAGTCGCAAACAGGATTACGCATTATTTGTGCAAAGATCAACATGGATTCAAAAAGAGTAAATCAATTGAAACTGCAACATATCACTTACTGAATTATATCTACAAAGAAGTGGATTCGAATAATTTTGTAATGTCTTTATTTTTTGATCTAACAAAAGCGTTTGACACAGTGTCTGCTGAATTTATAATTGCAAAACTGACCCAACTCAGTTTCCCGAATAACTTGTTGCAATGCATTGAATCTTACCTCAAAGGGCGTACCATGACTGTAAAATGTGAAAATGTTAGATCAAGGTGCAACGACGTCAAGCTTGGAGTGCCACAGGGAGCAGAGCTTGGACCATTGCTTTTTTTGTTGTATGCAAATGATTTGTCAGAATATCTGAAAGATTGCCATCTTACCATGTTTGCGGATGATACCACTATAACAGTTACAGGGGGAAATATTGATGTACTGCTTAGTAAGGTAAAATGCATAATCGATGGTTTTAGCTCCTGGTGTCAGCGAAACAGATTAATATTAAACTCCACAAAAACTGTAATAGTATATTTCTATAATAGAAAAAATAATGTTCCAGATGACTTAAAAATTATTGACGAAATAAATATTAGTAGCGAAGTTAAATTTTTAGGAACTTACTTGGATGAAAGCTTATCATGGGATCTGTAAATAAAAGATGTCTGCAACAAACTAAACAAGACATTCTTCGCTTTAAGGCAAATGAAATCATGCATGGACACAGCAGGTCTACTAAAAATCTATTTTGCTATGGCATATTCACATATATCGCTCAATATCATAGCATGGGGTTAATGAATTCATCAGAGTATTTGTAGCACAAAAGCGCATAGTTAGACTAATTTTCAGCATTGAACACCGAGACAGCTGTAAACCAGTATTCGTTAGGAAAAAATTATTATCGGCTCCCACCATATACATTCTTAAATGTATAGGATTTGCTAGATCTAACATCCATGAACTAGAAACAAACGCAACGGTGCACATTTACAACACACGTCATAGTGATGTTTTGCGTATTCCCAGTCATAAGTCAACGAAATATAAAAAGTCCCCTTTGTATAATGCCATAAATCTGTATAATAAATTACCAGTGCAGATAAAACATATTACCTCTGATAAAGTGTTTCATGGTAAAGTAAAGCAATAGACCTTTTCATCATAAGACGAGCGCAAGCGTAGCTGTCATATTGAAATGGCGGTAATTCAAAACATTCGTACTATTATTTCAGCACATCTTCAGGTTTTATTATTGAAGGGTTTTTGAATTACATTCACCTGATATGAATAACAGTTTGAGAAACTGATGATTTGTCAAAATATCGGCAATAGAAGCCAAAACAAAGTATGCTTTACATTACCAGAGTTGAAATAAAAATGATCATACCAGAAAGCGTTTTTTTATTATATTAGTAAATAAAGAGCTGCGATCACATTTAATTCAACAAATTCACAAAATAATTATCTATCAAGTTTTGTTTGGTGAAATGTCCATTTTCTTCAATTTGTTCTTCATTAATGTCTTCCCACATCTGCTTCTTGTTCAATGGGATTGTCGTCTTGTGGTTCGGGGTCATTTTGGCTAAGATCAATATTATGTAATACCCGCGTAGCTACTATAATGGCTAAAGTGGTGTTCAATAACACCCTCATTTATAGTCTCAAAACTTGAAATCTTCTTTTCCATACTCCATTCAGCTATACAACTACAATACGCTACGTTAGTGTGACGTCATATGTTAGGGAAGGTTATGGTCCTTCATCTAAACAAAGATTTATTACCATTGTTTAGCTATTGAAGTCATACGTATTTGGGAATTTTGGAAAAAGTAAGTAATACAATCTATATTTATGAATAATTCACAAACTTTCATTATATTCTGATAGATTTTCACATAATCCTTTGTTTTTCACTTCCATATAGGTTATGCCATGATATCAAACAAACTTATTAAGATGATTAGATACTGTTCTTGGTTTTTGTTTATCTGATGCTTGCTGCAGATCTTGCTTGAGAAAATAATTTTTTCAGCAACACTTTCTGCAGGCATAGGTCCTGGGGGTATGGTTTCTTCTGAGGTGGATGGTTGTGGATCAGCCAGTTCCGTTTCATATCTAAAATAACAACATTCTAAGAAAACATTTGAAATTGATTATTGGCAGTACTTATGTAGGATTTTCAGAAGTTTCTTCCATGTCCAACACCTTTCTTTTTCTTGTTCTCTTTTCTGGAGAAGAAAACTTAAATTGTTTTCCAGTATTGTGTGAAAACAATGTGACTTTCTCCCACAGAAATGTGTTGACAGTTGACGTTGACAAATTTAACTAGTAAAAACAACCCTGAGTCAGTATGTATTAAAGGAACACATCAAATGAATTTGTTTTTTGTTATATAAAAAGAAAATGATCAAGTAGGTAATTGTAGTCAATAGATGTTAAACAGATGTTTGGAAAAATGATTATTATTTTGCCTTTATATTCATTAATGCCAAATTAGAAATCCTAAACATGAAAGATTTATTCAGAATTTTACCCTCATATTACTCTTTCATAAAAATGTACTCAAAATACTTCCATTTTCAAACTACAGCTAATGGAATTTCTATTATAGGTTTACAGTGAAAGCCGGCTTAGCATCAGCTGCAGTTTATTATGTGAAAGAACAGGGGGTCTGGAAAACGAGTAATGAATCTGTAAAGACCTATGAAAAACTGAAGAAAACGGTGGATCCATACTTACGACATGTCAGTTCCAAAATTCCACTTGAGGTATTGAGAAATTGCAAATAATTTGGATAAGGTTTAACACATATACATTTCAGTTTCCAGAATTACCAGAAACTGAAAAGATGTCATCCCTTGCAAAACAAAGTTGGAATCGAAGTGTAATGGCCACTATCAAATTTCTTAGTGAATTACCTATAGCACTCACCGATTGGACACAAAGAGGCATAGAGTATTCAATGAAAAATGAGGAAATAGCCAATTTTGTAGAATCATTTTCAAGTAAAAAATAGTTGTAATTGAAGCTATGCTAATTTCAATAAAATGTTGCAATTCATTGTGAATATATATGATTTAATGATATTTGTTTATAGTCAGTAGTAGTATATCCTCTATTCTAAGTGAAAAAGTTAGTGGTTTTAACTTCAATTGCATATTAATTTGAAGATAAAATTACGATCTATATAACGTTGACGTGAATACAAACCTTAAGTGATCATATAAGGAAGAATCTTTGAGGAAACTTCCAGTCATTATAGATAAAATAAAATGTAAGAAAGTCTGAAAAAGTGCCTCAAAAAAATAGGCGGTAAGAAACTATGTAATAAAAAATCCTAATGTACTGGTTTTTCTGGTAGTGGCTACGGAGACAACTATTAGGATAAATAGTTGTTAACAAAATGAGTTGCTCAAAGTGTAATTTTCAAGAGACAAAGGATGAACAGTTAACTGTATGTGACAAGTGTGATGGAAAATTATGCCAGTTATGTGCATGGCTGTCCACAACAGAGCATAGAGCTGCTGCTATGAAGGGTAGAAAACTGTTGATTTACTTGTGCCGGGATTCTAGAACCAGGGTTTGTACATACAGCAAATCTGACCCAAATGATTCAGAGGAAAAAATCAAAAATATTATGAAAGAACTGCTCCCTTCTCTTACAACTGAATAAACTGAAATGTTCGTTGGAATGAAAGTAGTCAAGAATCAGATAACTATTCTTAAAGAATCCAATATTGAACTAGTCCGATTGTTAACCAATAACGCAATGGTCTCAACCTTGACAAATCCTAGTGAAAAACCTGCTTCTAGTCTCAGTTCCAATACTCTTTTTGTTATTGTTTCCACAAAGAGTCCCATGAATCCAATTAATTTTTCACAAGTGTCAAACGATCGCAAAAAACAGCAAAAAGCACATGAATCTAGTACATTGTTACACAGGGAAATTAAATATCCTATTAACCAAACGGTAAATAACTTCCCACCTCATAAAGTACAGTCAAATCTTTGTGAATTAGCCAAAGTTCAAAATAAGAACGAAACTATGGTAGTAAATCAATATGGCGAAGAAAAAATTATAAAACTGAAGCACGAGATTTTGTAGAGCCAAAAAGAAGACAAAGAAAGAAAAGGAAAATCAATTATGGCCTAGACGAAGGAGATACAAATTTTCGCGAAAAAACGGAAAACAGAAAAAATTGGTTATAGGTATATCACCAAAGTTCCAGATAACACAACGCAGGATAATATTACCCAATTCCTGCAAAATAAGTTAAAATCACAAGATGTGAGTGTAAAAAAGCTAGAGTTTGTGAATCCCTGTCCTGACCATCAATCATTTGTGATTGGTGTCAGCCCAGAACATTTACAAATAGTGCATGATCCCAACTTTTGGCCAAAAATATTGCTTTTGAAAGATTTGACTTCAGAAAAGGCAAGAGATTCCTGAGTGATCACACTAATTTGGAGAAGCTGGTGCATCCCAACCACTGAGTTTTTTAGGATAAACGATTCCACAGAAAATCTTCAGGAAGACTCTTTGAAGATTTTGCATTTGAACATTCATTGTCTCACTAATAAAGTTGACCAGTTGCGATTGTATCTTGAAGGTAACCCTCATGATATTATTAGCTTGACTGAACATTGGCTAAATATAGACTGCTTGAATATTCTAAACATTCACAATTTTAAACTTATATCATGCTATTGCAGAAAAACTATGCAACACGGTGGTGCTACAATATATTTAAATGGCAAAATAACTTGTAAACCACTCCTTTTAGAATCGTTTCGTGTTGAACAACATGCAGAGTTTTATGAAATTGTTTTAATTGAATCTAATACTGTCCTGATAACTACTTATGGGTCCTCTTTGTCCCAAGATTATGATATAGGTATTTTTCAATAAAGTTGAAGAAATTATCACAAAAATTTCAGATCAATGCAAAAGGATAATCGCTGTTGGAGATTTCAATATTGATATGAATAAAATTAATTATATATAATCATATATAAACTTGGCTAAATATTTTAGATTATTTTGGTCTAAAACCCAAGATCACTACTCCCACTAGAATAGTTCCTACATCTTCTAGTTGCATTGACAACTCCATGACTCTGAGTGAGTTGTAGGTCTTTGCAATCCCTGTGTTTCAGATCATATAGGACAATACATATATATTCCCAAACAACTGATGTGTAACGTTGAGATTAAATGGTACAGACAAATAAACCACGTGGGTTTAGATGGTATGAAACAAGCTCTTCAACTTATTTACTGGCATATTTTCTATGATGATGAAAGTCTGTTAGAAGTATTAGCAGAAACCCTCAATAATACTTATAGTAATCTTGTTTCCAAATGTTTCCCTTTAAAGAAATCTAAAAATAAATATGCCCAAAGACCAATTAACTTTTTCAATGATAATCTGCGCCAAATGAGAAATACATAATACATTTCAAATAGTCAGCATCTCTTCAAAAAATCCTAAAGATGAAGATACAAACGTAGAATACAAACGAAGATACCAAAGTGAAATAAATTTGACCAAAAGAGACTCCTACGACCATTTTATTCAAATATCAAATAACAAAGTCAAAGATACGTGGAGACTGTTCAATTTTGAATGAAACTCTTTGAATATGGTCAATAAAAATACTACTAGGGTAAATGCGCCTAATCCCAGCCACTTCCAGTGGTCAGCCACCCAGGCATTCTTATTCAAATAATAGCTGGATGAGTAACATAAAATAGTTCATTATGAGCTTCTTGAACTCGGCCACATTTTTGGCGGTAACCGCGAACATGATTCGAATATAACCTTAAACACATAGTAATGGCGTGCATGTGAAATATAATAGTGTGCTGTGTTGGCTGACAATTAGGTAAGAAACCCTAAAATTTTCTCAGTGGTTGAGCCCTTCATTATTAAGCTCCAAAGCTTGAATAATAATGAATATAAGAAAGTTTTTTTTTTCATCATTGTCTAAATGTATACTGAACACGTTTTCTAAGCTTTTGAGGTTATAATAGGCGTTTTTCATCGAAAGTTCTTGATGGCTGAGAACTGGTTAAAAAAATTGGCAGAATTCCTAAAGACAGCCAGGCGGCTGACTTTAGGAAGGATGATGAAAATTTCAAATATGAACCCTATGCATGATAAGAATACAGGCGTCTCCCCTTTGCATAGTATGTATCAAAATCATTGATTATTTCATATTTTACCAGTAGTCAGCCCCATAAAACTTCTGTAGGTTAGTTGATGGCTGACTCCAGGTCACAATATTCCAGTTCTCAGCCACCTGACATCTACAAACTGCAAAGTTTTCATTTTTATATTTTTCCTTAACCAGAAAAATGGGCAGGTACCAAAGTCATGAGTATGGTGTACCCCGTGGTACCATATAAGATAGGCTGCATGGAAGGGTTAAAGAGGGACCACGGAAAATGGGATCCAGCAAACTGGTTAAGAAGAAGACGAACTGGTTACGTGGCTACTAGAGTTAGCAAAATGTGGTTTTCCACAGAGGAAACAAGATCTCCTTAATGCAGTTGAGAAAATTGTTGGTAAAGATGAGAGAAAAAACCCTTTCAAAAATAATAAACCTGGGGAAACGTGGTACCAATCTTTCGTGAAGAGGCATAAAAATATAGTATTACGGAAAGCATAAGGACTTTCAAAATCAAGGGCCATTATCACTGAAGAATCTATAAGAAAATGGTTCCGGGAAGTGGAAATTTACCTCCAAAGTGCTAAAGCATCTGATATTCAAACGGATGGGTCACGCATTTTCAATGCTGATGAAACTAGCTTCGCGATGTGCCAAAAATCTGGGAAAGTTTTAGCTCCGAAAGGCTACAAAAATGTTTACAAAATCAAATGGTTTTCTCGGCAGACGGAAAAACTGTGTCCCCAATGGTTGTCTTTCCATTCGTGAGGCCTAACAAAGCTATAGTAGATAGTGTTCCATCAAAATGGTTCATAGGTCGATCAGAGAGTGGTTGGATGAAGAATGACACTTTCTTTGAATATATTGCCAATGGTTCAACAAGTGGGTTATCGATAACCACGTAAAAAAGCCAATTTTGCTTCTGATCAATGGCCATAAATCACACTTATCATTGGAACTCAGTCAGTTTTGTAGTGATAATCAAATAATTTTATACGCGCTTCCTCCTAATACTACCCATCAGCCCGCTGATGTTAGCGTATTCAAGCCACTGAAATCAAATTGGAAAAAAAACAGTACGGGCTTGGCAGAATGTTAATTGTCTGCTGACTAAATCCACTTTTTGTCCGATGTTGAGAGATGTTCTTAATGACAAATCTCTTCCACAGACTATCAAGAACGGGTTCAGAAAGTGTAGACTTTTCCCATTCGATCCGGAAGCAGTAGACTTTTCGAAGTGCGTCCAGCACCACTTGGAAAATTTGAGTGATACAGCAGATCAGGAATTTGTAGTCACAGAAGACAAATTCAACATTACAGAAAATGTTCTATCTTCTATGACACATAAACTGTTCGAGAAGGGTGTAGAAAATATTATAAACGTTATCGAACAATTAAAATTAATAAAAGAGGAATATTTCTAAACATCTCAGAAGAAAACTCCCACGGAAACAAATAATTTAATTGCCTTGCCCTCGGCAACCCCGCCGTATGATTTTATGATCTTCGACTTTGAAGAATTTATGGCTAACGATTTTCTTAAGGAGAAAGAGCCAAATGAGAATGAAGTTGTTCCAAAAATAATAATATTAGAAAATATCACAGTATTACCTATCAAGCCTGACAAAGAATCGGTTATAATGCCACTGGTTCAGAATCTGGAAGAGATTATTGAAATAGGTGAACATGAAATCCAGACTGAAAACAATCATGAAATATTAATTAATGAGTCAGCAATGAAGCCCGAAACGAAGAACGGAAAATCATATACCAAATAGCGAACGAAGCACATCAACAACGTAAGTCCTTCCATCACTTTTACAATGGAGAAGAAAGTCCACAACGAATAGCCATTCTTAGACGTGTTGGTCAAGAGGGCCGACAGTAAATGGGAAACATCTGTATACCGAAAACCCACTCACATGGGACAGTATCTGAACCAGGAATCCAACCACCATCAATCGACTGAGAAACAAATCATAAAAACTCTAGTAGGCCGTGCTTTCGAGCTCTGTAATACAAAGGAACTAGGCATCATCAAAAATGACCTTCAACGGAATGGTTACTCCAAAGTGATGGTGGAACAGACTTTGGCTAGAAGACAGCAAGAGCCTCACAAGGAACAGAAGCCGCCAGAACCAGTACTTGTACTTCCCTACATCAGAGGATTGTCGGAAAGGATAAGAAGAATTGGGTCCAAGTATAACATCAGAACCTGTTTCAGATCTGGGAACACTATCCGTAGCAGCCTCACAAAAATCAGGCCACCAAACGCGGACTGCGATTCCAAGAATTGTATTCACCGGATATCATGCGAGCGAGGAGAATCATACATCGGTGAAACTAAGGGGCCATTGAAAGTTTGCATTGCCGAGAATAAGAAACACACACAGCGAGGAGAAACCAGCAAATCAGGAATAGCAGAGCACGCTTGGACTCATCAACATAACATCAAGTGGGCTCAAGCTGAAATAATCCACAAGGAAGAATACTAGTTTAGGAGAAAATTCAAAGAAGCCGCATATATGTTGTCCAACAACGCATTCAGCCAAGCTAGCGTAGAGATACGCAATATATGGAAACCTCCAGTCAAGCGGAACACGATCAACTCCCACTAAACGGTCAGCTTCCGCTAAAACTAATGAAGCGCAGAAGGAATATGGGATAGGTGAAAGCACTCGAATGACCTATAAATAGTCAGATCTCGAAGGAATGAGTCCAGTTATCACCCGAAGATGATTGTGGATACTAACAATCGAAACGTCGTGAAGTAACTTGGTTTGGAATCTTTTAATTTTTAATTTTCATTTCTTGTTAATAATTTTTTCAATTTTCATCTAAAGTTAATAGTTTAATTTTTTGGTTGTTGTTTAATTTTTTGGTTGTTGTTTGTATTTTATTTCATTGTAATTTCAGTTTTTTTGCTTAATATAATTGTTATTTTTTCAGCTAATCTCTTTTTTAATTTTTTACAGATTCTTTTCGGTATTTCAAATCAATTCATATCATATTAGACAATGGAAGTCCGAACTAATGCAAATGCACCAATAAACATTGTCAACTACCTTCAAACAATTCATTATCAGCATTGCAACCGTGCGGAGCCAGAGTGGATCGCTAGTATAAATATATTTGTGTGTGGCGTGCCTAATTTGAATTGAACTCTTTTCAAAGGTATATTTCGTTATTCTGCATATGTTTAGTGTTTTATAAAAAATTAGTTGTTGACCGACAAAAAAAATACAGTAAAAATAACAATATACAATGAATGCAATGAGGTTTCATTAATGTGATTTATTTATTTCGGAAAAATGTATGCTTCTTTTCATGTATTTGAATTGGTAGTGAACAATTATGTTACTAACCTTTCCAAATAAAATTCTTCAAAATACACATTTCTGGTTTCTTTTCTTCATCTCTTTCCACATTACAAATTATAAATTCATTTGAAGCCGAATATTAAGTTAACTTCGAATTTAGTCACAGTAAATGCGAGAAAATTATATAAATTATTTCTGGTAATCTAAAACCAACACAAATAGATGGCGCAGGAAATGCGTTTGTATATGTTCTGTGATTCCAATTCGTCATCCTAAACTTTCAATTAATACAGTGTCATCCCCAAAGTATGCACCATATGGGAAACTTAATTTATTATTGGTTTTTCAACAAAATGTTATTCTTGATAAAAGTTTGTGCATCACCTAAAACTGAACATGCACCAACAAAATACAGTAAAACACACGTAATATATGAGGAGCCTTCAAATATTTGATTTTGAGACAAGAGAAAAGTACCCTTATTTTGAAAAATATCGGAAAATGCTATCCAGAAAAAGCTGTTCAGCATCAAAAAATACATCTAGATTTGGAGTCATGGCCATCTAAGGAAAGTTTTAATTTTTTACCAATTTTTTTTTAAATTGGGACTACGAAAAAAAAAATTGCTGAAACGATAGACAGCATCCTGTATACGACGGTTGATTTTGAAAGCCTGTAATATTAAGAATCACACAACTATGGTCAATTTTTTTGAAGAGTAAAATAATTTTCAAAGATTTTGGTGCAGTTATTTTTATTTTTTGTCAACACCGAAAATTACTCAAAGTCATACTGTATTGTAACAAAAACTTGATATTCAATTATATNGAAACCATGTACCGTGCATTCACACACACACACACACACACACAAAATCTCATATGAAAAAAAAATCTGAACGATCCCTGCACCAGACACTTCAAGGTCACATCGCCTTGACTTCACTAAACAACAACAAAAAAAAGCAATTATATAGTTATAGTGGTGGGGGGAGGCCGGAATTCGGCTGTATGCATCTACTCGCGTCACACACGACAACACAGAACCACAGGAACGGAACCAACTGTTCACAACTATTAGATCATGTAGGCTACGCTATATTATTATTCCTCGCAAACATTCGCTATATATGATCTAAAACTGAACTAATAGTTTTAGTTCAGTAGGTTTTAGTCATTGATTAATGGACAGTTCAGTGATCTGAACTGCATTACTTACCTTTTTTTGTCATTACTTTCAGAAAATGTCAACAATGAATAAATTAAAATATCAAAAAAGCGATGCAACCAAAGGTGAAGAATGTAATTTAAACTCGACCAGACTTCCGTACAGCCGACAGTAAAATGCAACAAGACGCGTTCTGTGGTTGGTGACTCTGATGGCGGGAAGCTTAAATTGTCATTTTGAACGGTCGCATGCAAATTGAGTTAGAAATGCATTAATTATTGGCCAACCCTAATTCCTAGTTCCTTGGCAACTGAACCAACACAGTTCAGTAGTTCGTAAAATTACATTATACAACCTGCCCCAAATTATTAAATAAAGTCCAAAACTCCACAATTTGAAATCAGTCCTGCGCGTGCGCACATGTTACGCATGACTTCGTGTTTTATGTATCAGTTTGGAAATTGAAAATCATACTTTAATATAATTCCTAAAACTCCATTCTCGAGATATCAATGTTTGAAATTGTTCTTTGCTAAAATATATCTTGTATATCTTTCAGTTAAAGACTCGTAGACACGACAACATTGACAAGTGAATTGAAATTGACCTGCCGTCGTACATTGACGTAAATGTCATGTGCAATTTGCTTCATAAGTTCATAATCTGTAATAAAATTTAAATTGGAAATATAATAAAAAGAAATTCTGTAATTTATCAGTTTTTCATTATCACAGTGTTTGATACATCAGCCCCTTTGAATAAAAATATTTTTATTCTATGCTAGGCTCTAGAGTTACATCTTTAACAAATTTTGTATATCGCAAATTTTTTCAGCACATCTTCAGGTTTTATTATTGAAGGGTTTTTGAATTACATTCACCTGATATGAATAACAGTTTGAGAAACTGATGATTTGTCAAAATATCGGCAATAGAAGCCAAAACAAAGTATGCTTTACATTACCAGAGTTGAAATAAAAATGATCATACCAGAAAGCGTTTTTTTATTAGGTATATTAGTAAATAGAGACCTGCGATCACATTTAATTCAACAAATTCACAAAATAATCANAATAAAATATATTTAATAAATACAAAACACAAGAAACAGAACACTACGCCTATGCAGATAAAGACGCTTGATAATGAAGAAACTGAATGACTAGTTATGGCATTATGCGAAGTGTTAATCAGTTTACCGATGTTTCAAAGTATTTAACGAACTGGTTCACCTATTTGCTCGTACATCCTATCGATATGCAGAAGCAAATTTTATGGAATCATCTTACTTTTAAATTATTTACAATGGCGATGCATAGACAATAAAAATGACCCCGGTAAGAATTTAGTTCTAACATTTAACAGTGTTGCCGTTAGCTCTTAGTTCAATTTGTATATGAGTTTCCTTCAATTGAAAATTGTTATAGTAGAAAGTTCAACTCTTAGACAAGAGAAGGGAGCTTGTCTAAGGTTCAGCTTAATTTGTTGAGATGTAGATCCATGATCACAGACTATTGGAACCCATGATTATGAATCCGTGAAACAGAAACTATTCTGTGTCCATGAACATGATCAGAGAACAGCTATATAATCATGATCCATGCATCCGTGCATCCATGATTTTGATTCATTGGTCATTGCAATTGTATTTAGTTGTAGGTTGTGGGTTTTTTTTTGACAAATATTTTCTTTCAAGTTGAAAGTTTGATGGAAATAAATGATGCTTCAACTGAGATATTGTAGTTTGGCACCTTTAATATACATTGCTCATAGAGAAATCATGTAAAACAAGTTTTTCAAACTAATATTGTGTATGTATTAATAGAAGACCAACAAATATCCAACCTTTTTTTTTGATGTTTTAGAGTATTCAGTTTGTGATATTTTGCCTCCAACCTCAGGGTGGAGCTCCATATATATGAACATTATTAGACATTAACCACTAATGAGGTGTGTAGTTTTTCAGTTCCAGTATAGTTCAGTAGATCTATAATTTGACATAATTGACAAGCCTAATTACATTTCTGAATTTTGAATTCAGAATTTTATGAGTTTGGGATATTCTGGCAAAGGAGATGTTTCTAATTATTTATTATTTGTTGAATTGGTCCTTTCATAGGACTTATTGATCTATAATAATTCAATGAAAAAACTAAACTTAAAAATTATAGTTATGGAAACAATTTGCTGCCACAAGATTATTCTACTCTTGAAATATTTATCCCTTTATTTTCATGTTTGAATGTATGCATATTGAATATATGAATATTCTAAATGCGACACAAGACACCAGCTTTTCAAATCAATGAATGAATAATTCGGTGGAATAGGGATACCTGTTCATCGGGTTTTCTCTATGGTAGATATTTACAGGGTGAGTAAGATAAAATGTTTCCGATAAAAACTATATGTTTCACTTTGTTGCTTATTTTAAAAGTATTTGGGAATATACAGAGTATTCCTTTGAAGAGGAGCAATACAAATCCATCATTTTTTTAAAAGGACTCCCCCATGTAAATTTTTTTACGGTTGAACAGGGCCAAATGTTTAACATAAGGAGGGTTTACTTTTTTGAAAATTTTGCGGCATTGTCAAGTTATTGCTGAAAGTAAGAAAATCTTCGGAAAAACAGACAATCACAAATGCCATCATAAAAAATTATGGATAAAATATAAGCAGAATTATTTGAGACATGCAACACCAACAGTGAGTTGAAATGTTGGTATCGACTGAAGATTACATCTATCAAACGGGCCATTTTATATAGAGCTAATAACTTGACAAACTTTTAATATAAAAAACTTGTTTTTTTGTTAATGAAACATCCAGTATGTTATATCACCATGTTTTGAAACTAATTCATTCCTAAAAATTTGGATAAGATGAAATAGTCTCTAAAACTGACACACTTCTTGAGAAATTTACAACTCAATTTCCAATTTGTCAAAATTTGTCGTTCTATATACATGTAAGACAGGTGGCCAAGTGGTTAGAATAATCGCTTTTCAATAATTCTATATGTGTGTGGGTTCGCAGCCTAGCGACTGCAGAATCTATATTTCTGAGAGAAAGTGCTGGGAATCGCAAGTTAAAACGTAAAACTTCATTAATCCTTGGCTCGCAGAAGTTCTTACTTTTGAGGGCTGCTTGTTACTTAAGGTGATGACAGTTGGTAAACAGAAAAAACTTTCTTAATTTTTGTATTTATGAGTGTAAATAATTGTAAGGATAACAAAAAAAATATTAGAAATTTATAACAATAATGTATTTGGTTTTTGAATTCTTCATTAACTCGCCTCAACATGCTGATTGGAATATTTTGGAATACGTCCATAATTCTATTTTTCACATCATCCTTTTCAGATGGGGGAGTTCTGTAAACTTGATCTTTAACATATTCCCACATAAAAAAATCATTTTTGTCAAATCTGGTGAGCGAGGTGGCCACTTGAAAGGGCCTCCTCTACCGACCCATCCTATGGGAAAAGCAGTGTCTAAGTAATTATTAACAGGAACAGTGTGGTGAACAGGTGATCCGTCGTGTATATACCATACTCTTCATTTGATTCTTTAAACCAACCGTGACTGCTCTGTATGTGCTCCGTGTATTTCGAGGTTAACTGGTGCCTTAAGATTGCCAGAAATTGCGATTTTTGCATAGTGCCTTCTCTCAGTGCTCTCACATCCATACATTGACTATCTCAGCGAAAACCCATCTTATAAAAGCGCAATTTGTAACCTAAAGTGCATCTGAACAATCTACAAGTCCAACAATAAATTATAAAAAGTCATCAGTTATTAAAAAACTCCTAAGATTTTTTTGCTTCAGATAAACTCATTAACATGGGTACCTGCAAAGTTTGTAAACATGATCTGGCTGAGGACAAATCTACTTTTGAGTGTGACTCATGCTAAAAACCAATTCATGCCACAGTGGAGTGCTCAGGTCTTACTGCGTCAGAGTTGAGATGTATGATATTCAAGAAAAGAATGCTGAAATTCTTTTGGGAAGAATGCAACACAGGATTCTCTCAGATCACCAAAGTGATACATGAAGTCCAACAATTAAAGACAGAACTTGAAGCTCTCAAAACGGCAATCTCAACTACGATACCATCTACAACTTCAGATCAACCAGTAAATCATTCATCGTTTGAAGAAATTGGAGGAAGTGAATGAGAGAAATAAGCGGAAGAATAATTTAATTATATTCAGTACTAGCCGAACCCGGGCAGACGTCCTGCCTCTACGCACCTCTCTATATATAAAAATGGATGCCTGTATGTGTATGTAATCAAGAATGTAACATGTTCTGGGGAAAAATTAAAGATGAGTCATACTGAATTGATGAAAAAATATATAGACTTTAATAGCAATATTTGAATTAACATCAATGAAAAATATTTTTGCTATATGATGAAAGGAACTTGTGATAATAAAACTAATCTATCATAACGCGAGTGGATACACTCGCTGGTCTTCTCGTTTGGTGCATAGATGTATNTATTTTGATGGGAAGACAAACGGCACTTCTTCACTGAACTTTATTATTATAGTCAAAATATGTCTGTATCTATTTAAGAAAATAAAAAAAACAATGGTTTGTGATTTTTAAACTAAATGATCATTTCAGGTTACTGTGAACACGTGAGAGCTTTTACAGTTTTTTAACATGATGGGCGATTTCAGCCCATCTAACTGCAAAAGAATATCAACTCAATACAAACAAACAAACTAAAAACTAGGTACAATGTTACATAATATTGATAAGACCAGCTTTAATATTTAATTTTTGTTTTAACTTTTTTATCAGACTGAAATGGAATATTATCGTAGAAACTATGATGATCTTTCTCGATGACACTCTTTAAATCTTGACAGCATTTCCATTTTGATTCGCTTATGAAAATAGGTTTTTTATGAAGCTGGGATGATTTTTATACATCATTTGTTTTGTTTTTCATTGTGGTAATATAGTCCTCAGTATGTCGTAGTTTGAAAAAAATATTTCCATCTGGACGATAGTCCAATGCCCGGATATCAGTCACATGTGGATCACCTGATTTTTTTTCAGCTCGCAGTGATTTAATATTAGTCACTAAATTCTCAAAATTATAGAAGAAAGAGTAATCCAACACTTTAATGTTTTTAAGGAGTTTATTGGATGAATGAAGTATGTTTCCAATGAAGCGTGAACGCTGTCACACTCCATCATTGTGTGCCCTTTTTTCAAGAAATAGCTGTCTGATTAATAAGTTTTTCTCACTTGCCAACCTACTCAGAGCACTAGCTAATACTCTATTCATATTTTGATAATGACATCCATCGGATATGATTGTAACCATCCGGAATTTATCAGCTTGAATAAAATCTATAAACACAACTAGTGAACTCATTAGATGTTACGCCACCATTTAACTCATGCCATACGTATAACGTCACATCTTTATTATTAAGAACAAAAATAGTGAAGTTATGAAGCTGTAATGTCTGTTTGTGATACATTGCGGAAGCCTCAGTTTTTGGGCACAGTAAAACACTTTGAAGGTCCATGGTAAGTACTAAGTGATTCATTCTCATCAGATTCATCCTTGGCCGCGTTTTTAGCATCTCTAGTTTCATTTTTCATCACAATGTGTTTCTGGTACACATCTGGAGTGATCATTTTCACTCCATATCCACAACAGATGTCGCCATTGGTCTTTGCAAGGTTGGTGTATTTTAATATTTTGCTCTCTTAGAACATCTAAGAAGAAGGTTCTTGAAATACTCTACTGAGTTTTGCCTACACCACTCTTGAAACACTTTATGTATGTGGGAAAGTGATCTAAATGTAGATTCTACATATGACCAAGAACTATTGTTTCTACAGTAATGGCTTGGAACAGTTGGAAGTAATTTTAGCCATTTGACGACATTTTCCTTTATCTCTTCATCTGTTTTATTTTTCATTCCATCGGTTTTGCGTTTTTTTGTTTGCTGTTGCTCCTTGGTATTGTTATTCGTTTCACTAGTCCTCTCACTATCTGAAATTTCGTCACACTCACTACGCTTACACCATCTTTTAAATGTATCTGCTCCTAAATTTAGGGTATTGATAAAAAATAGTGTACACTTTCACTCTCTCCCCATTACACCATGATGGGAATATATCGTGACTTTCTTTTTTTCTGAACACTTGTTGTGCATTATCTTCTGCTCTTTTTCTTCTTCTGCGAATTTCTCTTGTGCTCACCAAACCCGTTACAAACGCTTTCTTCTCAGACCAAGTGGAAAAACTCCAAATTTTTTTGAAAAGTACATTTCTTTTGTCATCAGTTATCACATTACACATGAAAGTTCTACAAGTCTTTTCAGTTGTATTTTTATGGACACAACGTTGCTTAACTGACCTTGATGATTTTTCGCAATTCTGGGCAATTTTTCCATTTTCGAACTTTTTATATCCCACGTAGAATTTGCCCAAAACTCATTTCTTCTTAGCTTTTAGTCTGTTTTACTTATTCGAGAAACTGGCTTGTCCGGTGTGATGGATGAATGCTCTTCTGAAGTGCTGGAAGACCTCCTATTGCTCTTCCTATTTTCCTTATTGGTTTCCAAAACCCCGTTTTCTTTATTGGAATTTTCTTGTGAAAAATAACTTTCAGCTTCCATGGATTTGCTTTCTATCAGGTTTTGTTCTTGAACATCTAAGGTATACATTTCTACTGGTACCTCCCCAACTTCTTTTTCTCTGTTTCCATTATTTTATTGCTCTTTTCATCCTTCTCTATTATTTCCACTACTTCAATTTCGTTTTCTGGGGCAACCTGCTGATGAAATTGGAGTAGGTACACAATTTTCAAAAATGCGGAAAATACAAAGAAAATACCTGGGAAAATACAAAAATACGAAGAAAATACATGCGAAAATACGAAAATAATGGGAAAATTCTCAGAAAATAAGAAAATACAAGCGGAAATATTACAAAAATACAGAAAATACCAATGGTGAAAATAGTGTACACATTTTTCATGAGCGGTTTACCCCTCGCCTTTAAATGTTGAGTTTTTAAATAGAAATATGTACACTATAGATTTAAAAGCCCTGAACATTCCCCATCGTTTGTTTTTTTTCGCGCTGCAAATCCATGATCAGCCATTACGGCTTAAAATACCCTAATTTTCGAGTACTATGACCGATTTGGTTTGACGATACTTAGTGAATAACGACCATGACCTTCTGTAATTGGTATTTCAGAACTTATTCGGTAAATGAGTCAAAGCAGTCTGTATCCAGACAACGTACAGCTATTCAATAAATTCAGTGTAAGTTAACTGACCTTATTTTTATTAGTCACTAATGTAAAAAATTATTCAAAAATAGTTTTAAAACTTCTAGATGAATGTTGAGAACTTATTCGGTAAATGAATCAAAGCAGTCTGTATCCAGACAACGTACAGTTATTTAATAAATTCAGTGTAAGTTAACTGACCTTATTTTTATTAGTCACTAATGTAAAAAATTATTCAAAAATAGTTTTAAAACTTCTAGATGAATGTTGAACTGAACAAGAAACAAAGTTCCAACATCAAATGTACGACTCTTGATAACTGACATGCTGGTGAAATCAACTATGTGCCACTTTTCGTCACATATGAGGTTTTGTTGCGTTCAGGGTTACAGCAAAACATTCTATGTGTTTAGCCAATGATGAACCAAGCACATAGAATATTTTACCGCATGCAGTTTTCGCTTGATGCTACATAGGAGGTTTCTTATTATAAAAATTAAAAATAACGAATTGAACTGACACATACGAGATTTTGCTACAGGTTAGGTACCCTAAATTGCCGTCAGGTGTCAGCAAAACATCGTTTTCATAAAAATGTGCACATAGGAGGTTTTTTCACAACAGCGACGATGTGTATCTTTTTCTTTGATCAATATTTGTTACAGATGAAAATTTCACACTTAAACATGATCAACCATTTCTTCTATCAATGGCCAACAGGGGTAAGGATACTAATGGATCCCAGTTCTTCATGTGAGTAAATTAATTTTATGTATTTAGTGCAAATGTGTTTGTTTCCATTGTGATTTTGGATGTGTTTAATTTCTATCATGACACTTGTTTTGAAAGACAGCTATATAAATAGTGTGTTTTTCTAAATATTCAAATTTGATTTTTTTTTTCATAAACTTCAACTCACGATTTGATCTCCACAAGTAACGGCCGAATCAATCAGATTACTGGGAAATTCAAATGATTGTTAATTAATAACTTCCTGTTATGACTGTAATGTTCTTTGCATTCATTTCTTACCTCTTATGAAATCAAGTGGCTAATACATTTCTTTAAGGTTATTTATTGTAACAGAACAAAAAGATACATGTTCAAATGGAGATTTTGAAACATACTTACTTCACGATATTGTCAGACGGTTTTCAAAGTATCTTCTACATACACACACTCCTTTAAAAACAAAAGAAAAAAATACAATACAATACAAACGATTTATCCACTCTTCTTTTGGTTGTGACTGGAACTTGAATTTTAAGAAACCATTGAGTTTCTAGAAGTTTATCCAAAAACACTTTGTACCATCATCTTGTACATCTTGACTTGCTTGTCTTACACACATTTTGACTGGTTTCGGAAAAATAGTCATTCTGTTTGAAAGAAGCAGATGGTATGAAGGATCGTCTATTTCTTTTATGTTCCATACCATTGAGAAGAACATTGTGATCATCTTTTCCTGGTTTATTCAATATAATTTCAGACTCTCACTCTCCAATATGTTTTTGAACTGATACAGGCTGATACACAGCAAGTTCAGGCAATTTTTGTTTCCACATAAAATTGTTTTTGCAAATTTTGTCTGCTATACAATTTGTTTGTCAACCCTTTTGGCTGCAATGGACTTACATGGATTTTTAATGGTTTTTGTCATGTGTTCTACCAGGAAAAATAGAGACTTGAAGTGGACAGATAAATACCATATTTTATAGGAAGTTTACAAATTCATAAGAGTTGAATGCAATCCCATTGTCAAAAAAAAAATTCAGTGGTAAACCATGGGTTCCAAAAATGTTTTTCAAAGTTGAAATGACAGCTATTCCTGTTTCGTTCATCAAAAAGTTGACTACTGTAAACTTATAAAATAATCACTACAACCAAGAAGTTTAACACAAAATCAATGTCCACTTTCTATGAGGCCTTAAGGCTGTCTCGGATTACTTCTTGCATATTTGTGGCAGATACTACAATTTTATATCATTTTCCTAAATGTCGTATGGTAATCCCTTGAGCTCGTTTTGACATTGACATTGTTTTGACAATAATAATAATAATTTCTATTAACCATTTTCGGTACTTAATGTATATATAGTAATTGAATAATTGCACTACCATGGTTTGTCATATTCGACTAAAAATTAAAGAATAAAGATAAAATAAAAAATAAAAACAAATCACGGCACATAATATACAAATGTCACAATTAAAAAAAACAAATAGGTACAAATATTATTTTACATTGGGTATTATCAGGAATTATCACCCCAAAAGTCTTTTAAACCATAAAAACATATTTTTATGAGAATATCTTCATATTATTTTTAAAGATTTTATCTGATTTGGACTCCTTAATTGAATTGGGCAATTTATTGTAAAGTGAGATAGCATTGTGTAGGTTAGGTTAGGTCTAAAGTGAGTGGGTCTAGTCGACCCTCCACTGCAACCCGCAAGGGTTTATTGTGGCTCACACCTATTCACACTCGACCAAATAAACCCAGCTACCTAACGAAGCTGATTAGTTTGTATGGTGAGTGGTCTTTCAGGTCAGATGGTAGGAGTACGGCTCTGCCAAACTCTGAAAAACTGATTCCGTCCCCAGCGGGGCAGGCACAAAGTATATGCTCTGCTGTTTCATCATTTTCCAAACAGAGGCGACACACACTGTCTTCCGACAGTCCGAGTCTCTGCATATGATGGTTCAAATGACAGTGACCTGTAAGAAGGCCTGTTAGGCATCGTAGTTCATCCCAACAACTGTTTGGTGTCAAGCTTCGAAGGGGGAATAAACGCCTTGGAGTGAGCCAGTCCAGGAATATTCTGCCAGAAGTCCATGAATCTTCTTGCCATCCAGGTATTCAATGCTACTTGCAGCACCCTCCTTTGCAAAGGAATCAGCAGCTTCATAGCCTTCCAGGCCAGTATATCCAGAAATCCAGACCAGAGACAATCTGTTGAGCCTTCCTATTGAAGAAAGTCATTTTTGGCAATTTGCTACCAATTTAGACGTTGCTCAGTAGGAGCCAAGAGCTTCCAACGCTGCTTGACTGTCCGAGAATATTTTTATTGACTTGTGTATGAGGTTGGATTTATCCAATAGATATCTCTGTCCAGGGTCTGCGACTGAAAACACCTGCACCAGAACCGGAAGGTGTTTTTGATCCATCTGTGAACCAACAACTATCTGCTTTTAATATTTCCTTCTCCTGGAGGATTTAGTCCTCTCTACTCGGGAATAGTACTTTATAAGGCAGTTCGTAGTTGACAGTTGGAGGCAACTATCTGCTCTTAATATTTCCTTCTCCCGGAGGATTTAATCCTCTCTACTCGGCAATAGTACTTTATAAGGCAGTTCGTAGTTGACAGTTGGAGGCATAAAGTCAGAGGTCATTTCCCGAATGCTGTGACTTCCAGTGTCAACCAACAGTCTGTTGCACTCTGCATTAAATTGATTTGTGCAAAGGCAATGTGCACAAGTCTGTATGCAGTCCCATCTAGCCTCTCTCTCCAGAAGAATGAGGAGAGGAGGTAGATCTAGAAGGATCTCCATGGCCACTGAAGGTGTGGTACTGATGGCACCACTGATAGCCAGACAAGCCTGTCTCTGTAAGCCAGAGAGCTTCGCTTGTGTATTGGATAATTTTTTAAATTTATTTGATTTGTGGGAGGGTATCCCCAACATACCACCATGACGTGTACAATAATTATGATTAGAAGCATTCGTTTCAAAAGATGCAAGATTATCTCTCACATAAGTTACACATTAGAATATTTACAGGTTGGCCCATTAGTTTCAGGAAGTACAGTATCTCGCCTATAATGAGGAGTATGATAAAAAATTTCACATAAAAGTTATTTGGTTTACTTTGTTGCTTATTTAAAAAAAAATTGGAGTATACAAAGTGTTCCTTTGAAGTGGGCAATGCAAATCATCTTTTTTTTCAATGGACCCCCTGTGAATTTTGTCACCGTTGAACTGAGCAAAATGTTTTAAATGTTTATAATATGATCTTATGGGGAAACAGTGTTGACAAAGATAGGGTTTTCATTGCTCAAAAAAAGTTATTAGGAAATTACTAGGCATCCCTTGGAGGGAATCATGCAAGACATTTTTCATTAGTCATCAAATTTTAACCTTTCCCTGCATCTACATCTTTAAAATACTTTTATATGTTCTCGAATGTGACTGTACTAAGAACTCATTCTATCATAGCTACCAACTCGATATGCAGAGGAGTTGAGCATTCCTAAACATAAAACTATAAAATTCGAACATTCTCCCAAATATATGGGAATAAAATTATTCATTCGGTTACCAGACCATTTCAAACAGATGAACACTGTAGCATTTAAAAAAGCAGTTAAAACATTGCTTCTTTCTGAGGCCTACTATAGTATTGGTGAATTTCTCTCGGATCATCTCGACAGAATGGGTTCATGCGGTTTTGGCATGACATATTCAATTTTTATAACTACAATTGTTTTAATTTTTGTAATTCTGACTTTTATTGAATAAATTTCAATTGTACTATTTTTATCTACTGATCTACAATTATATCGTTTGATGTGATTTTTATGTGCTTAATACTGATCTATCCTATACGTTTGTCAATGTCTTTAAGGATGAATAAATATTATTATTATTATTGAGGAGGTATTTCCTCTTTTCGAAAATTTTGCGGTGTTGTCAAGTTATTGCTGAAAGAAAGAAAATCTTCAAAAAAAACAGACCATCGTAAATGCCATCCTGAAAACATTATGAATAGAATTTAAGCAGAAATATTTGAGGCATGCAATACCAAGAGTGAGGTGAAATGTCGATATGGACTGAAAATTGCATTTCTAAAACAGGAGGTTTTATAGAGAGTCATTAACTTGACAAATTTTTAATATCAGTATGTTATTTTACCAGTTTGAAGAACTATTTTATTCCTACAATTTTTGTTAAGATGACTTAGCCCCTAAAATTGACAGATTTTGTAAAATTTGAAATTTCATTTTATTTCGACTAGAACTGCTTGATTGTCACTATAATACTCACAAAATTCAAGAACTAAGAGTTTTCCATAGGTTATGCTCCATATGTAACTTTCAGACCATACCAACATTTCAACTCACTGTTGGTGTTGCATGTCTGAAATATTTCTGCTTAAATTCTATTCATAAAGTTTTTATAATGGCATTTACAGTGGTCTGGTTTTCCAAAGATTTTCTTTCTTTCAGCAATAAATTGACGCCACAAAATTTTAGAAATAAGGAAATACCTCTATATGTAAAACATTTTGCTCAGTTCAACAGAGAAAAAATTTACAGGGGGGTCCATTTTAAAAAAAGATGATTTGTATTGCCCAGTTTCAAAGGAACACTGTGTATATTCCAAAATATTTTTATAATAAGCAATAAAGTACACCATATAACTTTCTTATGAAACATTTTATCATACTCCTCATTATAGGCGAGATACTGTACTTCCTCACACTGATGGGTCACCCTTTATATGCATGTCACTGATAATTAATTTTCCCTTTTGAAAATGGGTTTGCAGATATTACGATAATCCATATCAAAAATGAGTCTTATAATGCGTTTTTGGGCAACTATTAAAATCTCTACCGCATCCCCAGGACAGTATATTTGAGGAAATATGCGGATATGCTATTGCAAAATATATACTTGAGAGATTTTTTTATCTACAAACAATTTCATTTGCTTAATCGCGAGAAATGCTGCGTTAAGTTTCTTGCAAAACCCATCAATATGCAGATCCCAATTCAGAGATTCATCTAACATGGTACCTACAAATTTTACATCCCGTGATATTGCTATTCCAACAGTAATGTCAACTTCACCTGGAATATTATTTTTTTTGTTATAAAGTTTCATC